CTCGCAGGGTCCCGGGTCCAGGGGCCGGAGCGTCTGCCCCCGGGGAAGGGCAGGGGGCTGCCTCGCTCAGGAAACCCCCGGAATCGTCTGCAAGGAGGAAACTCGGAATAAGAGCCTCTATCTAGCAGAACGTGGTTTTAGCTGCCTTTGAAGAGCAGCTCAGCTGACGGCCGATTTCAGGCTCAGAGGTGAGCTCCCGGCTGGCCCGGGGGGCTCACAGCCTGGAAGTGCCCCCAAGGCCCCGGGACCCCCACCTGAGCTGCTTCCGGTCGGGGGGAGTCCACCCTGGCTCCCACCTCAGCTGTAACGCCCCCCGCCCCGCCGCACGCCCAGACTAGCAAACGCGGACCACTGCTGACCCACCGCGGCCCGGGCTCCCGCAGGAGGGGCCCAGCTGGGGGGCTGCGGGCACAGCTCCCACTCACACATGAGGACCACGAACACAGCCCCCCGAGTCCCCTTGCGAGGGAGCGAGGCTGAGGTCGCCCGGAAGGCACAGGCTCCCCACATCCTGCCCCACCCCCAAACGTGCCCTCGGCTGCAGCAGCGCTGAGTTTCCTGACAGCAGTCTGACCTGGGGCGCGGGAAGCCGACACAGGGCAGGACCCGCCGCCCACTCACTGTCCTCACAGAAAGCAGAGGGTGTCGGGGGCCCAGACCCCCACCCGCTGTCCCCAAGGATACGCCTGGGCCCTGGTAGCCCCCACCCCACCACAGAGACCCCGGTCTGCAGCGTAGCCCCCTCGCCCTGCCCCTGAGGCCTGCAGCATTCCAGGTCAACTCCAGGGCCCACCGACTTTTTGCCTGACAGCTGCTGCATCCACACCCCTCAAGGGGCCCGAGGGAGACCCTCACCCTGACCGGCCCCAGGAGGAAAGCTGACCGCTGAGCGTGTCCGCCCAGGACTGTCCGTCCTGCAGTGAATGCGCAGAGGAGGGGAGGGGAGCTCCCGACAGACCCCTGGACACCCAGGGCCGCCCCGTGCAGGCAGGAGCCCCGACCCGTCTCGCAGAGTCCGTGAGCCCAGGCTGTGTCCCTGCAGGACTCAGCGGCCTCCCTTCCTGGCAATCCCCCCCGCAAGCGCCCCCCAACCCAGTGGCCCGACCCCCGCCCGGGCACCAGGGGCTCAGACACCTGGAAACGGGGGAAGTAAACTCCGAGGTTACAGCGGGGACGCTGGTCTCATGGAGCAAACTCAGTCTCAGTTTCCCTAATGACTCCATTTACTACCTACTGAGAGTTTATTTGAATCTCTAGTGGTTTGAAAATTTCTCTACTTTCCTGTTTATCAAGAAACACGATTCCCAACAGAGTGGCTCCAAGCTTACAGGCCGAGCTCGTATTTCACTGGACCTGCAGGAGTAGGGGGCGCCCAGACCACCAGACCCCCCAGCTTCCAGAAGCTCTGTGGGGCCTCCTCACCACCTGGGGACACAGTGTCCCCAGGCCCCCCACCCCGCGGTGAGCAGGCTCCGGGACCATGGCCCACTCTGGACCTCTGCCCCCTGCCCACCCCCTCCCCGGTCTGGGTGTGAGCCCCCTGGGGCATCTGGCTGGGGGTCTGTAGATGTGCGCTCCCCGCGTCTCCATGTTCCAAACAGCCTGTGCTGAATGCAAGCATCCCGTCCTCCCACAGCTCATGAGCAGACTTCCCATCAGCTCTGATCTAATCAGCACAGAGAGGGGCAGCGACTTGCCCGAGGCCACACAGCCCTCCAGCAGCAGCCTGGCTCCGGAACCAGCTTCCCAACGGTCCCCTGAACTGCCCCGGGCTACGCAGCCACGGGCGAGCTCTGGGCGGGGAGAAGGCCTGAAGGTCGCAGTCCCTGCCGAGAGCTGCCAGCAAGGATTGGGTGCGGATGCGGCAGGCGCAGGGGGACGCAGCGGGTGGGATGGGGCCGGGTGGAGGCTCCAGGAGGGGAGAGATGGAGGACAAGCCTGGAGGCGCATGGGGACCCAGAGGGCGAGCGCTCAGGGCTTGAGAGCCACAGAGTTGGTGATAGGGGACTCTGGAATGGCAGAGCCTGGGACGTGCGAGAAGGGGGGCCCCCCGTGGAGCAGCCCGAGTTGGAGGTTCTGCCCGGAGCTGTTCTGACCCCAGAGTTGCGCTAACCCTGGCGCTGGCGGGAAACGAGGCTTTGGGTTGTAATAAATTGAAAACAAAACTTAAAGCTCCAGCCCCCTGGGTAAAGTTTTCCTCGGAGTTAATTTCCAAGATAAATTGTTTTGGAATTGTGTGGTCCATCTCCCTAAGCCCCTACTGTTTCTCTGATTAGACATTTTCATCTAAATGGACCTGGAGTCTGAATGGCACCTCCATCCCACCCGTATTGACATCTGCCAGGGCCGCTGGCTTATGGGGAAAGTATGAATTCCTCGCCGATGGCTTTGCTCAAATTGAGCTGTGTTCCCAGCGAAATTAGATGAGGCCCTGGGCTGTCTGGGGGACGTTCACTCAGCTCGGGGTTTAGGGAGCGATGGGGCTGCAGCAGGACGGGGCAGGGAAGGCAGACGCCCTCCTTCGGGAGGACGGAAGGGGAGGGGGGCCCAGGGACGAGCGCCCAGCTCCCGCCACCCTGGGGAGCCCAGGACAGGCTTGTGGGTGCCCCCATGTGCAGGCTGGCCCGCCCCACAGACTGGCTTCCTGCAGCCACAGGCCTCGTCGGAGGGGCTGCTCTGAGAACGTTTTCTTTAAGGTAACAATTCCTCGGTGAGACAGGAACCCACCAGCTGACCAGCAAAATCTGTACAGAAGCTGGGTGCCCAGCATCCCGCCAGCGGGTGGACAAGGGCTCCAGGGAGGTGGTCTCAGAAGAACCTCTTCTGCACCTGGAGGGGTGAACCGCCGACCTGGCAGGATTCCAGGAAGCTCAGGGGCCAGGCGCACATGGGGGCACCCACCCAGCCTCCTGCCACACGTCTGGGCAGCTGAGCGGCAGGAACGCCGACGCGGCCTCCGGCTGGGAGTCGGAAGCTATGCACAGTTCCAAGGCTCTGAGAAGTTCCTCGGGGTCCGGACCACCTCCCAGGTTTCACTGTTAATGAAAAACAAAAGGAGGGGGGATGGGAGAGGGAAGTAACAATACTGACGCAGGTCAGATCCATAACCAGGGACACGAACCGGGACTCGGGGCTCGAAGCACAGACTGGCTGCCACTCGCCAGCCCACCTGAGCGACGGACACGCAGGGGGATGGTGCCGCCCGCATCACTCCCTGCAAAGCCTGACCCTGGCTGGTCCCCGTGAGTCCCACCCGGCACAGACAGCCGAGCGTGTGGTTGTGTCTGACGGTCAGAAGAGGAGTCAGCCACGAGCACGGGAGTGCAGCAGAGAGTGGGTAACGCGGGGCTGCAAGTGAAGTGAGGACCAAGTAAACACACGGAGTCACGGAGAAGACGGCCAGAGGATGTGCACGCAGCAGCCGGGGAGACGCCGGACGTGCGGCCGCAGGGGCCAGCGGGGCGACTCGGCCGGGAGGAAGGGGTGTGATGAGGACAGGTCCAGAGAGAGTGGTGCCTGCAGCACCCTCCACCTCAGAGGAACTCAGAGACCTCCCGGCACGGGAAGAACCACAGACACAAGCCTGGAAGCTGGTCGCAGCTGAGAGAAGGGACCACAGCTCCCCGGATGGGCCCGGGACCCAGGTCGTGGGACTGGGCTGGGGGCTGGTGGCCCCAGGCAGCTGGGCTTGGTGAGGTTATTAGAACAGAAACTACCTCAATTCTCAAGGTGTCCAGTGTTTTAAATTAATGACCGTAAACTGAACTGCTTTCTCTTTCCTTATACGTGGTAACCAAGTGGCTGGCGGCCCCAGGCAGGCTGGGCTTGGTGAGGTTATTGGAACAGAAACTACCTCAATTCTCAAGGTGTCCAGTGTTTTAAATTAATGACCGTGAACTGAGCTGCTTTCTCTTTCCTCATACGTGGTAACCAAGAGGAAAACTGACGGAGTCTTTTGGGCCTAGAAACGAGAACAGCAGTCTCAAAGGCCTTGCTGAATCGTCTAACCTCGGAGAAAACGAAGCACAGCCTTAGTTCCATCTCGATGCTCCAGGCCAGCTGCATCTATCTGGGACTTAACTCCCCCTGTCCGGAAACCTACCACCCCCTCCACCCGCCCAGAAGACTCATCACCCCCTGCCCAGCTACAAATGTCATCTCAACAAAAGAATACTCAAGATATCCCGCCTGATCGACGTTTCCCTTATCGCTTCCACAAACCTCCCTATAAGTATGAAGCCTCCCTGATCCCTCTCAGCGCTCAGCCTGGTCGTCAGGCCGACTGTCGCCCCTCCTTGCCTGAATAAAGGTAACCTACTTTTGTTGAGGTCGTCTTTCCTTTTCTGCCTCGCCGAACTATACCCTACAAAGACAGTGTTTAAAGTTTTGACAGAAAGTCATTTGCTCAGTTCTGGCCCGTGAGAAACAGCCGTGTCTTACACTCTTGTGTTGCGTGCAAAGTGTGGACGGCTCCCGGCCAGCACACGGCTCGTGTGTCAGCCTCCGGGCAAGGGTTTGACATTCATTTCCCACTGGAAGCTCAAAACAGTCTCAGAGGAATCCTGACCGTCCCCAGTTCACAGATGGATAAACTGAGGCAGGAGAGCTGAGGCAGGGGCAGCAGACACACTGGAGGCCTGGGGAGCGGCAGACGCCCGAGGTTTCTCCTGCGCACGTCTCCGGGTGGACCACCCACACCTGAGTGGGGCTCCCGGGCCCTGGTCCCGAGCTTGTTCTCTGAATATTCGTGCCTGACACCCTGCCCTCGGCGCCCTTCAGCCAGAACAAGGGTCCAACAGGCCGCAGTTCAGTGGCACAGAGACCTCCCCTGTGCACACAGGCCACGGGGCCGTCAGAACCTCACCACTGGTTTGGGATTAGACCCTCAAGTGAGACCACAGCTCTGCACACGAGATTCCATCCACGGAGTGACTTGGTTACTTCCTGCGTCACAGCCGTCCCTTCTTGGAACTTTCGAAGTCCTACTGACATGTTTCGCGATGGATTTGGGGACAGAAAGGACCCATGTGGGGACGCCGTCTCTGCGACAGGGAAACCGAGGCTCCGCCTGAGGCAGCCCGCCTTGTACCACGTCCCATCTGTTCTAGAATCTCCCAGCCGGCTCCAAGGACAGAGTCCTCCTCTCAGCCCTGCGGGAAACAGAAAGTTCAGAAAGATCAGAAGTCAATTAAAATAAGAATATGTTGTTTTGAGGGGACTTCCCTAGTGGTCCAGCGGTTAAGACTGCACTTCCAAGGCAGGGATTTCAGTGTCGATCTCTGGTTAGGCAACTAAGATCCCACATGTGAGATGCCAAAAAACTAATAAACGATTATCACTGTCACCCCAGCTTCCCTCCCCCACAGCGAAAAGGGTGTGCTGACCGGTGTCTCAGGGTCACTAGACAAGACTGGCTTTGACCTCCTCCCAGCCCCAAGATCCCTCCTCAGCCTGCCCCGTGCAGACCCCGCTTCCTGGGCACAGGGGCCTCTCGGACGCACCTCCTGCCCCAAACCCACTCTCGGGCTCACCTCCTGCCCCAAACCCACTCTCGGGCTCACCTCCTGCCCCAAACCCACTCTCGGGCTCATCTCCTGCCCCAGACCCCACTCTCAAGTTCACCTCCTGCCCCAGTCCCCACTCTCGGGCTCGCCTCCTGCCCTGACCCGCTCCCGGGCTCACCTCCTGCCCTGACCCACCCCAGGCCCCAGGCGTGCCCCCACCCGGCCTCCTCCGCCCTCCTGCTGCTTCCCCTTCCTCTCTGTTCTCAGCTCTCCCTAATCACCCGAACCTTTCCTCCTCCAGGAAGTCCCCCTGGCCTGCACCTCCCCAGCCAGGCTCCCTTCTGTGGCTGAGATCCTGCCATGGGCTGGGGGGCGGGAGGAGGGTCTCGGCGCTCCCCGGGGGCACCACCGCGTATCTGTCTTCAGCCCCCCACACTCAGCTTCTGGGCAAGGAAGACGGCTGGACAGGCGCTTCCAGGGCCACCCCCTGCGCGGCGGCTCTCTCCTTTCGCCTCCCTGGGCTCTGCCTCCTCTCGGGGTCCATCAGTGCCCAGAATAAACCGTGCCCCATTCTTGGAGGCTGGGCGGTCCACCCTCAGAGGACCCCCGGTGGACTTGTAAACAAAAGAACAGCTGCCGCAGAGCCATGGGAGCGGTCAGCGAAGGCCGACGGCCGCCAGGCGTCAGGTCCCGCTCGCCCCTGGGCCGGCCCGCGGTGTGTGCTGCAGCCGGAAGTCTCCGACGGGCGTTGGTGAAGTTCCTGAGTGGCCGAGGGCACGGGGCAGGCCTGCAGGTCACCCCGCCCCGGCCGAGGACGCCCTTGTCCATGTGTCCCCCCAGCCACGGCACCTGAGCTTGGCTGCCGTCCAGCGGGACTGTGTGAGCCAAGCGCGCCTCGCTTATTCAATTGCATCTGTAACTCTGAGTTAATCTGCTCCGTAATTGGGTTTTTGCAGGTGACGCTTGAGATCATTGGATTTACAGGGTCTGTGTTCTGTCTCCAGCCTGCTGTCACCGACACTCACGGGGGCTTCACCCACCTGCCCCTCACCCCCCACGCCAAGGCCAGCGGGGCTCCGAGCCAAGGCTTTCAGAGGGTCACAAAGCTGGTGGGCCCCCTGGCCGGCTCCAGGCCTTCCCCTCACGGCCTCCTGTCCCCCGGCCCTGGCAGGTCCCACTCCTGGGCTCTGCAGGTGCCCCGGGCCTCCAAGGCGTGCAGCTTCTCTGCCCCGGCTCTCCCAGGGCATCTGGTCTGCAGGGCTCGGGGATCCCTCTGCCAGTGACCCCACCTTTGCCCACCTGGCCGAGCCCAGAGCCCTGGCCTCTGACCCGGGCAAGAAGCATGGGCGCAGACCCCAGGCACGCGACCGTGCAGCTCCCAGGCTGGGTCTCTCCCGCCTCCCCGCTCCCGCTGGGCCTCGTCCCTTGTCTCCACACCCAGGCCCGGCACCGCCCTCAGCTGCCCCTGACTCCCAGCACCCGACCCCCACCGCCTCATTCAGCATTCACCCACCCAGCCTGGACTTGTCTTCGGGGCCTGTGATGCTGGCCCTGTGGCAACCACCCAGGGGAGCAGAGGGTGGCGGGCGCGGGCGGAGGGCTGGCATCTGGAGCTCCCCGGTGCTACCCCCTCTGGTGCCCACTCTGGACACAGGGCTGATCAAGGTGAAGAGAGACAGCAGGAAAGCAGGGGGCAGGATTCAGGCTCAGAGACACGGAACGAGAGGGACCTCCAGGCCAAAAGGCTCAGGCTTCGAGCTGGAACCGGGGGGTGGGCGGAGGCCTCTGGGGGGCAGCAGGGAGCCCGTCCCCGGGGAGGAGCCCCCCTCCCCAAGCTGGGTTCACACTGCCCTGAGCTTAAAACCAGAACCACGGAGCCCACATGTTCCTGGCCCCGAGTCGGCCCCCCAGGGTGGCCGCGCCAAGCAGGCCCCTCCGTCCCTGCCCTGTGTCCTATGCGGACGCCTCACGGATGAGACCAGCCCTCGGACGTGACATCACTGTCTCCTCTCGGGTCAGACCTCTGCGCAGTGGGGGATGTTTACCCGTTTCTAGTTCTTCTGTTTATCTGATCTTACCCCTTTTCCCTATTTCTATTAAGTCATTATTGTTGTTGCCACCAATTATCTCGGAAATTGGTGGGCTGGCTCCGGTAACTACAGAGGCCTGCCCTTCACTGGATGTTCTCAAATCTGTTTGCCCCTCGGCTTCTTTCCGAGGACGTTGGTTACGATGCATTTCTCACAGACTTTTGGTTGCTTGCTTTACATCCATATATGCAGGTCTGTTCCTTTTGCCCCAACTTCAGAACCACGTCCTGCTCAGGAAGGCCCCCACTTCACACCCCACAAATTCTCCCTCCTCCTCTGGTGAGCAGCAAGACCCCGCCTGGCCAGCTCCACAAAGCACGCTCCTTCCAGAGGGTTTGGGCCAAGACCTGCTACTTGACTTTTATTCTCTAATCACAGGTCCAATGGACCCGAACCGCGTATTAAACAATCCAGTCTATCCCCTCATTCGAAATGCACTATTGATTATACACTAAATCCCCATCTATTCATCCCCGACACCTTCAATCCAACCCTATTGACCAAGAAAGCTGCATGCGGTCTGACTGATGAGAGAAGGGGGAGAACTGAAGGAAGCACCTTCCTGGAGGATGCACTGGACCAGAGCGGGTGTGATGGGCCAGGGAGGATGCTCTGGACCAGGGCAGGTGTGATGGAACAGGGAGGGCACTGTCCAGCGGGGCAGCGGCCCACGTGTGGTCCAGGGACCTCTCAGAGACCTCGGACAGGGAGGCTCCACCCAGCAACCTGGGGCAAAAGGAACAGCTTAGGAGGCTCCTAAGCTGACACTCGGGATCCCTCCCAGAGGCGCAGGGGCCTGGGGCCCTGCTGAGGCCCCCCGGGTGCCCAGGGTCCACTGCTGGGTCAGTCAGCACCTCGCCAGGCTCCCTTCTAGGACCTGGAAAAAACGGACAGGAGACCCTGAAGACGGAGCCCTCCTGCCAGCCTTGGGCCAGGCTCCCAGGCTCCCGCCTCCCCACAGCCAGGCCCCTGCAAACCTGGCCCCACGTGAACAGACATGGGAGGTAGAAAATATTGGGGGTGAGACAGTCTCAAGGATGTATTACACAACACGGGGAATATAGCCAGTATTTTGTAATAACCATAAATGAAGTGTAACCTTTAAAAACAGTATAAAAAATTCTCTAATTCATCAATCCATGTGTTTCCCTGGTGGCCCAGGGCAGGATACGAGGGTTCGATCCCTGACCCGGAAGATCCCACTTCCACGGCACAGCAGAGCCTGGGCACCACAACTCCTGAGCCCGGGACCCTGAGCCCAGGAGCCGAACCCACTCAGCCCACGTGTGGCAGCCACGCAGCCCGCTTGCCCCAGAGCTGGCACCACACACCTACAGGAGCTGCTGCAATGAAAGCCTGCGCGCAGCCACAAGAGGAAAGCCCACGGCACTGAGGACCCAGCGCAGCCAAAAGTAACAAAGAAACAAGTAAAACTGTTTCTAAAAGTCATCAATCTGGAGGCTTCAGGAGAAGAATCACGCCCCACCCCCGTAGCCGTTGCTGCCACAGACAGGTGCTCTCCAGGCAACGAGGGGCAGGCGACTCCTCCTCGGGGACCCGCCCAGGAGCCCAGCGGTCGGGGCGCTATGCCGTCCCCACTGGAGCCATCGCCCTGTTGAGCTGTCTGGGGAGGGGGGGCAGAATCAGGGTTAAAACAGGAAGAAGGAAGTGAATTACGATGACGTGCCACATGAGCTGACACCCTCAGGCTCCCGGAAAACCCACGAGAATCAGACAAGAAGAACCACCACGAAGATCACCGAGCACATGGCTGGGAAACAGAACTAAAACATGAAAATGAATCGTCTTATTACAGCCGGCCACGAATGAGAAGCCAGCATGGCAGAAGGAAGCGCAGGTGACGGTCGGTCCAGAAGGAGGGGGTCAGCTCAGGAGTGGACTCTGGGAAGGACCCCACGCCTGCAAGGGGGCCTCTCTCAGCCCTCCTGAGGACACACGGTCACAGGCAAACACAGAAACACCCGCACAGCTCTGGACACCGGGGCAGAACCCTGGACACCAGCCTGCAGCCTGAGCGAGTCTGCGGAGCTTCCGAGCCCAGCGCCGCCTGGAACGGCGACCGTGGGTGGACTTGAGAGATGCTCCTGCAGGCAGAGAGAACCAAGGCCGTGGTCTGCAGAAGGCGCAGCCACACCAGGTCCCCGGAGGAGCTGCAGACTCCTCATGCTTTTCAGGCTCATCCACTTAGCAAGTCTATGAAACCCAAATAGACACCACGATAACGAGAATAAATTTATTTTCTACACAAGCGCTGTTTGTCTTCCACATGCCGCTAACATCTGTTTGATATTTATTCAATATCCAGTAAAACTAGTAATTAATCTAGGTTATCTTTAAAAAACTAGAGACGTGGCAATGATTCCATTTGGTCCCCAGAGAAGATGGAGGACACTGCGCGGTGTCTGCCGGTCTGTCCCCTTGTTCTCCGCCGGCAGAGACGCAGCTGCAGGGTCACAACACAAGTGTGGTCCCGCCCAGACACCACCCGGCAGATCAGCAGCCTCTTCCGGTGCCTGCCTGCTTCCTTAGCACAACATGCTCACCCAGGCGGGCACCCCAGACGCCTGCCCAGGGCCCAGCCCAGACTCTGCATCCAGTGGTCCTGGAAGACCCCCATGCCAGGAACAGCCACTGACCAGTTGAAGGCCATGGCCACTTTCCAGGCTGAGAACTTGGACCTGCAAAGCAAAGCCCTCTCTAGTTTCTGTCCTGGAGGGTCTCAGACGACCCCCCTCCTGTCATCCCAAAGGGGCTCAGGGACCCAGGTCTCGCCCCCGGCACTTCAGGAGTAGGCGGGGGTCTTGCCAACAGCAGGCGGTCGGGCCGGCCCCCACAGTCAGAGAGCAGGCTGCCCCAAAGCGCACTCGGGCCTGGAGGCCAAGGGCATACCCGCCAGCGCAAGGCTGGCCGCCCCACAGTCCAGACTCGGCGACGCCCCCCACGGAGCGCACCCTGCACCCGACCCCCTCCCTCCCCAGAGACCCCCTCGCCCTCGGCAGCTCAGGTGCACAGCAGCTGCTCTCAGCCGCAGCTGTCCACCGCCCTGGATCACTGACGACCCCCTCGGGACTTCTGACTTAGCAGATGGGTTAGGCCGGCTCCTGGCCCAGGTACAGCCAAAGACGCCCCCTCACCCCAGGGAGGGATGCCAGGAGGGTCCCTACGGCCCCTCCCCGTCCCACTGGCAAGGGTTAATCAAAACGCATGTGGTTCCCGAGAGGTGACTGGAAGGGGGGCTGTGATCTATTAACTTACCGTCTCCACTTCCACTGGGTGCGGGGTTCACACATCTGCAGATCTTCAGAGCGGAGATTTCTGGCAAAGGACGGCCTTGATCCCCAGCAAGATGGTGTTTCCCAAGCGAACGCCCTAAATGGAGTGGTTAAAAATGAAAAGCATAAATACCCACCCACTAAACGGAGTAAAAATGGAAATGTCTCCTGAAAGGCATAGGTACCTGCTTGTGGAGGTGAGTCTGGAGCTTTGCATCCATTAACCTTTCCCCAGTGGCCTGTTGTCCGTTGCGATGATGGGCGGCCACCCAGACGGCGGATGGCCTGACCTTTATTCAGCTAAAAGCACGGGGCCCTGGGTGTTAAGTGGATGTCACTCGGGAATGGAATTGATCCTAGGATGAGAATCTCTGGAGCTGTCTTAGATAATGTGACGGCAAATGGACTCAGTGCGCTGGGCTCGGGGCAAATTAAACAAAGCCCAATGCAAATAGTCCTTCCCCTGCTGAGCTGCTTTAAAGACAAGCAGCTGCTCTCCTCAGAAAGAAGGCCTGGTCCTCGGAGACCCAGCGGCTTCCACAGGATTCGGAGGGAAATCCATGGGCTCGCTGCACAAGGAGCTCCTGGGGGCAGTCAGGTCGACCTTACTTCACTCTGAAGCAGTGGGTTTGATGCCCCTCCCCGTCCCACTGGCAAGGGTTAATCAAAACGCATGTGGTTCCCGAGAGGTGACTGGAAGGGGGGCTGTGATCTATTAACTTACCGTCTCCACTTCCACTGGGTGCGGGGTTCACACATCTGCAGATCTTCAGAGCGGAGATTTCTGGCAAAGGACGGCCTTGATCCCCGGCAAGATGGTGTTTCCCAAGCGAACGCCCTAAATGGAGTGGTTAAAAGTGAAAAGCATAAATACCCACCCACTAAACGGAGTAAAAATGTAAATGTCTCCTGAAAGGCATGGGTACCTGCTTGTGGAGGTGAGTCTGGAGCTTTGCATCCATTAACCTTTCCCCAGTGGCCTGTTGTCCGTTGCGATGATGGGCGGCCACCCAGACGGCGGATGGCCTGACCTTTATTCAGCTAAAAGCACGGGGCCCTGGGTGTTAAGTGGATGTCACTCGGGAATGGAATTGATCCTAGGATGAGAATCTCTGGAGCTGTCTTAGATAATGTGACGGCAAATGGACTCAGTGCGCTGGGCTCGGGGCAAATTAAACAAAGCCCAATGCAAATAGTCCTTCCCCTGCTGAGCTGCTTTAAAGACAAGCAGCTGCTCTCCTCAGAAAGAAGGCCTGGTCCTCGGAGACCCAGCGGCTTCCACAGGATTCGGAGGGAAATCCATGGGCTCGCTGCACAAGGAGCTCCTGGGGGCAGTCAGGTCGACCTTACTTCACTCTGAAGCAGTGGGTTTGAGTCTGAAAAGATAAATACACACATGTTAAAATAGTTAAGGATGCTTTTAAGAAGAGCCATAGGAGAGGACTTGCCCCACCAAAACCCAACAGAATGCTGGGACTGCCAGAAAGAATGGCAGGAGGTGACGTGGACACGGGGCCCTTCTCAGAGACTGCAGCCATTCACACTGGGTAAGACAACCAAACCCACGCAAGGACGCTGGGAAGCCCGCAGGGCAGACGGAGGAGACGAGGATCCACCCTGGGGAAAGGCGTCTGGGAAGAGGGGGCGTCAGGGTAGTCTTCCTGGACCACCATCTGCAGGGGGCGCAGAAGGCAAGGCACGGCCGCCCGGGGAGACGGGCTCCCCCCACCCAGCAGACTCCCCTTCTGCTCGGGGCAGCCTCCAGAGCCCCGCAGCCCCCAGCCCCCAGCGTCAAGGGCTGAGCTCCGGGCGGTGGGAAGCAGGCAGGCAGGACAGGGACAAAACTGGCGGGGGCGGGAGGGGTGGCACACAGGAATGGGGGAGGGGCAGGGCCCGTCGAGGGGGTCCCAACAGCAGGTCCCCGACCTCGTTCCCAGGAATCAGAGGAGGACCCTGTCCTCTGTGGCCGAGATGGAAGACAAGGCTTCAGACACTGCAAACACTTTGGTCGTTAACTTTGTTCGTCGCCCATCGATTAAAATTAAAAATTAAGCGTGCGTGTGGTTTGCCGCTGCTTAATTATTAAAATCCACTGGTGTTTCGTAATTTGTTAGGAAAACACAAAGGAGAGTTAGGACTGAAATCCTAGGAGATTCTGAATGAGAAATCTTTTCAGGACGAAGCCAAGTCAACGCCACAGCATCGTGATTTCTGATAAGTTAATGCTGTATGCAGAAGTAAAGACGGGCAAAATCAAACGCGGCTAGGGTGTGTTTTAAATGTGTCGCATTTAATTCATTTAAGTTGTGACTTGTTCCTTTTGCTTTGCTGAAAAGCTCTTCCCACTTTTTTTTTAAGCTGTCAAAGGAAAGCCAGCAAAGGGAAATTAGAAACACAGTAAGAAGGGCTTCCCTGGTGGTCCAGTGGTGAAGACTGCGGTCTCCCAACATAGGGGCCCGGGTTTGATCCCAGTCGGGAAACCGCATGCCGTAACTAATCATGTGCCGCAATGAAGACCCGGTGCAGTCAAATAAAGCGATTAATTGACATTTTTTTAAAAAGAAAAATAAAATAAGAGATTAGAGAGTGGTCTGGCTGTTCTTCCAAAAGATACACATAGAAATGCCACATGACCCAGCGATTCTACTCCTGTTTTACCCAAGAGATGTGGAACAGACTCACACACACACCGGATGGTGGGGACAGCCCCAGGGTCCTCAGCTGAGGACACACAGGTGGTCTGTCCATAAAGCGCATGGACTGACCATCCAGCCTTAAGAAGGGATGAAGCCTCACACTCGCTACAGCACCGTGAACGCTGCCGACAGTCGGCTCAGTGAAGGATGCTGATGCAAAGGGCAGATACTGTGTGAATCCCTTCATGGGAAATGTCAGGATGGCAAACCCGCTGAGACAGAAGGCAGGCTGTGTGCCAGTGCTGGGGGAGGAGGGGGGGGGCGTCAGAGTTCCTGGCAAGGGAGTGGCCCTTGGAGCAATGAAGCGTCTGAGAACTCCATGGAGACGGTGGTCCCAGAACACTGTGAATGTGCTGAATGCCCCCGAGCCGTTCACTTTAAAACGGCTGGCAGAGCGGCCAGCGGCTCGGTGCCCCCATCCACGCCGGCCTTCCACGCGGGATGACGAGACTGCGAAAACCCACATGTGCTTCCTTCCCCGACGCGGCCCTCTCCTCGGGGCCGCCGCCCTTCCCCACGCCATCCTGTGCCTCTCGCCCCCTCTCCCACCATGGAATCTAAGACCTTTCAGCCGGCCGAGCCAGAGGCGGGGGTCCTAAGCGAATGCCTTCCGCCATCACCGGGCCCCGCAGCCTAAAGGGCTCCCAGGGCAAACTTAACTCCCCGCAAATCTTGAAGCGGGGGGTGCTGCGGTTACACATTCCACAAAGTGCTGGCACTTACAGCCATAACCCGAAGGCGGAAGACTGACTCACAGGTGGTGACCTCCCATCACCAACGCTGTCATGGTGTGCAAGGTTCCGTTATCAGCCAAGGACCTGGTTAGAGATATAAAGACCTTTTTATTCACCCTTACCTAATTGTTTTTTTCCTTACGACTTTTTTTGGTGTGTTGTACAGCGGTGTGATTTTTCACTTATTTATTCCATCAGTAGATATGGTTTGTACAATGTACAATGGTTCCATTTCAGAAAATAAAAGAAAAATTCAAATCATGAAAAAATAAATAAGTAAAATGGTCGTGTTACATGAATCCCACTTCAGTAAAATGAAACAAGCCGTGAAAGTTACGGGGATGATCATAAGACCTGCCAGAGCGACGTGCAAACTCAGAAGCCTCCCCAGGCCAAGGTGCAGGCAGTCCCTGGCCCCAGGTAGTGCCCCGTGTCCCCCAGGCCTGAGCCCCGTGAGGGTGGCATCCTGACGGATGGGCTCCCGCCCCTTCAAACTCACTCAGTCTGGCAGGGACACAGTCATCGGTGCTCAGCCGCCAGGCTGAGAGCAGGTGGAATGCTGGGCCCCCTCCGCTGACCCCCTGGCCATCCCCACACTCCCCAAATAACACCCCCATCCGTTATACGCAGAGATCTCTCACTTGATGACTGATAACCCGGTAGAGGTCAACGTCTCATCTGCCATGAGTCCTTCCCCCTGGCATCAGAGAACTGGCTTATGGTTTCAAGAGTTTGCTTGTGGTCCCAAATTATCTGTCTGTCTGTCTGTGGGGCCGGCAGGGCAGCCTCTCTCTCTCCTGGTCTCCGAGAAAGTTCCTTTTGGTCACAGGAGAGCCTGGGTTTGCCATCTGAGCAGGCTCGGCCCGCATGCCCACTTAATCTAAAACATTAAGATGTTCTGGGTAGATCGGATCATTTTGGAGCTACACGCCGCCCCCGGGCCCGGGCACCCGACAGATGCCACGTCTGATTACACGGTGCTGCATTGAAGCTGACTGTCCATGCGGGGCTGTTCGCGCGGGCGATGAGGGAGCAGTGATCCAGAAAGAACGCGGGCCCAGGCAGGCAGCTCTCTCTGTAACACCCTGCTCCCATCAGGAAATACAGCTGCCCGCGTCCCTAGGGGTGTGAACACTGTTAAAACCAGCAATCAGGAGGGAAGAGATCCAGAAATGTGACCGTGTCGTGGATGTAGAGTCGGATACCCCTGTGTCCTGCCTCTGAGACCCTGGAGTCGCTGCTCCGATGGGCAGGCCGCTCGCCCTAAGGAGACTGTGGGAAGCCGTGAGCACGTGACCCCAGCTTCCGGCCTTGCAATGTCACAGCCCAGCCGCATCAGAGGGCTCGGGGCCCAGGCGCTGCCCCCAGGGGACGGCAGAGACCCCACTGGCATGGGGGTCCCCAGAGCCCAGCCCCTTCTCGGTCAGACCGCCCACCCCGCCTCGCTGCCTGCCTGCCACCCTCGAGGAGGTTGCAGGGGGTGACCGCGCCCTCCTGTGAGCATGCCCTATGAAAAAATAAATAAGTAAAATGGTCGTGTTACATGAATCCCACTTCAGTAAAATGAAACAAGCCGTGAAAGTTACGGGGATGATCATAAGACCTGCCAGAGCGACGTGCAAACTCAGAAGCCTCCCCAGGCCAAGGTGCAGGCAGTCCCTGGCCCCAGGTAGTGCCCCGTGTCCCCCAGGCCTGAGCCCCGTGAGGGTGGCATCCTGACGGATGGGCTCCCGCCCCTTCAAACTCACTCAGTCTGGCAGGGACACAGTCATCGGTGCTCAGCCGCCAGGCTGAGAGCAGGTGGAATGCTGGGCCCCCTCCGCTGACCCCCTGGCCATCCCCACACTCCCCAAATAACACCCCCATCCGTTATACGCAGAGATCTCTCACTTGATGACTGATAACCCGGTAGAGGTCAACGTCTCATCTGCCATGAGTCCTTCCCCCTGGCATCAGAGAACTGGCTTATGGTTTCAAGAGTTTGCTTGTGGTCCCAAATTATCTGTCTGTCTGTCTGTGGGGCCGGCAGGGCAGCCTCTCTCTCTCCTGGTCTCCGAGAAAGTTCCTTTTGGTCACAGGAGAGCCTGGGTTTGCCATCTGAGCAGGCTCGGCCCGCATGCCCACTTAATCTAAAACATTAAGATGTTCTGGGTAGATCGGATCATTTTGGAGCTACACGCCGCCCCCGGGCCCGGGCACCCGACAGATGCCACGTCTGATTACACGGTGCTGCATTGAAGCTGACTGTCCATGCGGGGCTGTTCGCGCGGGCGATGAGGGAGCAGTGATCCAGAAAGAACGCGGGCCCAGGCAGGCAGCTCTCTCTGTAACACCCTGCTCCCATCAGGAAATACAGCTGCCCGCGTCCCTAGGGGTGTGAACACTCTGTTAAAACCAGCAATCAGGAGGGAAGAGATCCAGAAATGTGACCGTGTCGTGGATGTAGAGTCGGATCCCCCGGTGTCCTGCCTCTGAGACCCTGGAGTCGCTGCTCCGATGGGCAGGCCGCTCGCCCTAAGGAGACTGTGGGAAGCCGTGAGCACGTGACCCCAGCTTCCGGCCTTGCAATGTCACAGCCCAGCCGCATCAGAGGGCTCGGGGCCCAGGCGCTGCCCCCAGGGGACGGCAGAGACCCCACTGGCATGGGGGTCCCCAGAGCCCAGCCCCTTCTCGGTCAGACCGCCCACCCCGCCTCGCTGCCTGCCTGCCACCCTCGAGGAGGTTGCAGAGGGTGCCCACGCCCTCCTGTGAGCATGCCCGTAGGGGCAGCCCAGGGCAGGGAGGGGCCAGACTGCAGGTGGCAGCAGCCTGGGAACCCCTGTCCAGAGCCCCAGAAAAAGCCCCCAAGTGTGAGGGTCGGGGCAAGCATCCCGCAGAGGGGACTGAGGTTTCTATCACCCCAGGCTCAGCAGCCAGGGTCCCAGAGAAAGAGCTAAGCGGTGAGTG